TTTGACTCTCTATGTTCCCTATCCTCCCGGCCGGCTCGGTCCTCCCCTCCTGCTCCGTGGCTTTACGACTCATTGTGAGCTCACAGAACAGGGCTCCGGGCAGCCGAGCGGAAATGGAGGAAATCTAGACTCCCTGCGGACCTGGCATTTTCTTCCTCTGTTTCTGCTGCTAAAGCCACTTTCTACCACTCTAAATTCCAAGCATCTGCCTCTAACCCTAGGAAGCTCTTTGCCACCTTCTCCTCCCTGCTGAATCCTCCTCCACCCCTCCTCCCTCTCTGTGGATGACTTCGTCAACCATTTTGAAAAGAAGGTTGACGACATCCGATCCTCGTTTGTTAAGTCAAATGACACCGCTGGTCCTGCTCACACTGCCCTACCCTATGCTTTGACTTCTTTCTCCCCTCTCTCTCCAGATGAAATCTTGCGACTTGTGATGGCCGGCCGCCCAACAACCTGCCCGCTTGACCCTATCCCCTCCTCTCTTCTCCAGACCATTTCCGGAGACTTTCTCCCTTACCTCACCTCGCTCATCAACTCATCCTTGACTGCTGGCTATGTCTCTTCCGTCTTCAAGAGAGCGAGAGTTGCACCCCTTCTCAAAAAACCTACACTCGATCCCTCCGATGTCAACAACTACAGACCAGTATCCTTTCTTTCTTTTCTCTACAAAACTCTTGAGCGTGCCGTCTTTAGCCAACTCTCTTGCTATCGCTCTCAGAATGACCTTCTTGATCCAAACCAGTCAGGTTTCAAGACTGGTCATTCAACTGAGACTGCTCTTCTCTGTGTCACGGAGGCTCTCCGCACTGCTAAAGCTATCTCTCTCTCCTCTGCTCTCGTCCTTCTAGACCTATCTGCTGCCTTTGATACTGTGAACCATCAGATCCTCCTCTCCACCCTCTCCGAGTTGGGCATCTCCGGCGCGGCTCACTCTTGGATTGCTTCCTACCTGACCGGTCGCTCCTACCAGGTGGCGTGGCGAGAATATGTCTCCGCACCACGTGCTCTCACCACTGGTGTCCCCCAGGGCTCAGTTCTAGGCCCTCTCCTATTCTCGCTATACACCAAGTCACTTGGCTCTGTCATATCCTCACATGGCCTCTCCTATCATTGCTACGCAGACGACACACAATTAATCTTCTCCTTTCTCCCTTCTGATAACCAGGTGGCGAATCGCATCTCTGCATGTCTGGCAGACATATAAGTGTGGATGACGGATCACCACCTCAAGCTGAACCTCAGCAAGACGGAGCTGCTCTTCCTCCCGGGGAAGGACTGCCCGTTCCATGATCTCGCCATCACGGTTGACAACTCCGTTGTGTCCTCCTCCCAGAGTGCAAAGAACCTTGGTGTGACCCTGGACAACACCCTGTCATTCTCCGCTAACATCAAGGCGGTGACCTGATCCTGTAGGTTTATGCTCTACAACATTCACAGAGTACGACCCTGCCTTACACAGGAAGCGGCACAGGTCCTAATCCAGGCACTTGTCATCTCCCGTCTGGATTAATGCAACTCGCTGTTGGCTGGGATCCCTGCCTGTGCCATTAAACCTCTACAACTCCTCCAGAACGCTGCAGCCCGTCTGGTGTTCAACCTTCCCAAGTTCTCTCACGTCACCCCGCTCCTCCGCACACTCCACTGGCTTCCAGTTGAAGCTCGCATCTGCTACAAGACCATGGTGCTTGCCTACGGAGCTGTGAGGGGAACGGCACCTCCGTACCTTCAGGCTCTGATCAGTCCCTACACCCAAACGAGGGCATTGCGTTCATCCACCTCTGGCCTGCTGGCTCCCCTTCCTCTGCGGAAGCACAGTTCCCGCTCAGCCCAGTCAAAGCTATTCGCTGCTCTAGCACCCCAATGGTGGAACAAGCTCCCTCACGACGCCAGGACAGCGGAGTCACTCACCACCTTCCGGAGACACTTGAAACCCCACCTCTTTAAGGAATACCTGGGATAGGATAAAGTAATCCTTCTACCCCCCCTTACACCACCCCCCAAAAACAAAATAAAAACAATTGTAAAGTGGTTGTCCCACTGGCTATAATAAGGTGAATGCACCAATTTGTAAGTCGCTCTGGATAAGAGCGTCTGCTAAATGACGAAAATGTCAAATGAAAATGTTAAGTGTCAGCGCATGGGACATGTAGCTAGCGTCTGTAGAGACGTTGTGCGAAGTGTGGGGGACCACATGAATATGGCAAGTGTGGGTGGAGGACAAGGCAAGGCGCTGTAACTGCGGCGGGGAACATAGTGCTGCGTTCGGGGAAGTATAGCACAGAAGCAGGAAGGTACAGAGATATAAGATCACAAACAAGGTAACGTATGCTGAAGCAGCACAGAGAGTTCAAAGTACAGAACCTGGGAGGAAATTAGAACAGCGGCCTCCAATGGAAGGGGGAGGTGAGGGAGAAGCACAAACTGGGGTCTCCACCAAATATGACCATCAGTGTGCGAAAAAAAAATAATCGTTGGTGTTGAACAGGGTTGTGTTCTTGGCGTTCATGTGCAGTGATGAATATGAGTGATCAGGTTAAGAAAAAGTCTGCACTCATAGAATTGATGGAGGCCAAAGATTTCCTGTGAATTACAGAAGAACTGGAGATGTTGAATCAGCCAAGAGGTGATTGGTTGGAACATCCTGTTTAGTTTTTACGGTCCTTCAGTGGAACTCTAGAAGATGAATAGCAGGAGCAGGAGTTTGACATGGATGTAGTCCCAGATGATCCAAGAGACATGGATCAAACCTCAACTGGAGTTTGTGATTCCGGGATTCAGTTCGGTACGGTGTGATACAGGAGGGGGTTGTGCTACGTTCGTTAAAGAGGGGACGGAGTACAGAGTATTACAAGAATTGAAAGGTGTGGGAATAGAAATATGTAAGAATAGGGGTAACATTGTAATAGTTAATTTCTATAACCCCTGCAAGCCTCTCATGTTAGCACAGTTAGAAGGGATTAATAGGACGTGCAGGGGGAGGAACCTAATATGGTGGGGTGATTTTAATGCCCAAAATGAACTCTGGGGAAGTACGCATAAAGATAACAATGGGAGTATAGTTGAAGAATTGATGGATAACAGGGATTAGTGTTAATGATGGGAAAGGGAGGAGAATCGATGTGGAGAAGTATCTGCAGTGGTGGCAGGGAGGTGACATTTCATTTTATATCAGATGGTCCAGTACCATTTCATTTTATGTCAGATGGTCCAGTACCATTTCATTTTATATCAGATGGTCCAGTACCATTTTATATCAGATGGTCCAGTACCATTTTATATCAGATGGTCCAGTACCATTTTATATCAGATGGTCCAGTACCATTTTATATCAGATGGTCCAGTACCATTTTTATATCAGATGGTACCATACCATTTTTATATCAGATGGTCCAGTACCATTTCATTTTATGTCAAGTGGTCCAGTACCATTTCATTTATATCAGATGGTGTACCATTTTATATCAGATGGTCCAGTACCATTTCATTTATATCAGATGGTCCAGTACCATTTATATCAGATGGTCCAGTACATTTATATCAGATGGTCCAGTACCATTTTACAGTGGGGGAAAAAAAGTATTTAGTCAGCCACCAATTGTGCATGTTCTCCCACTTAAAAGATGAGAGAGACCTGTAATTTTCATCATAGGTACACGTCAACTATGACAGACAAATTGAGAAAAAAAAATCCAGAAAATCACATTGTAGGATTTTAATGAATTTATTTGCAAATTATGGTGGAAAATAAGTATTTGGTCACCTACAAACAAGCAAGATTTCTGGCTCTCACAGACCTGTAACTTCTTCTTTAAGAGGCTCCTCTGTCCTCCACTCGTTACCTGTATTAATGGCACCTGTTTGAACTTGTTTATCAGTATAAAAGACACCTGTCCACAACCTCAAACAGTCACACTCCAAACTCCACTATGGCCAAGACCAAAGAGCTGTCAAAGGACACCAGAAACAAAATTGTAGACCTGCACCAGGCTGGGAAGACTGAATCTGCAATAGGTAAGCAGTTTGGTTTGAAGAAATCAACTGTGGGAGCAATTATTAGGAAATGGAAGACATACAAGACCACTGATAATCTCCCTCAATCTGGGGCTCCACGCAAGATCACACCCCGTGGGGTCAAAATGATCACAAGAACGGTGAGCAAAATTCCCAGAACCACACGGGGGGACCTAGTGAATGACCTGCCAGAGAGCTGGGACCAAAGTAACAAAGCCTACCATCAGTAACACACTACGCCGCCAGGGACTCAAATCCTGCAGTGCCAGACGTGTCCCCCTGCTTAAGCCAGTACATGTCCAGGCCCGTCTGAAGTTTGCTAGAGTGCATTTGGATGATCCAGAAGACGATTGGGAGAATGTCATATGGTCAGATGAAACCAAAATAGAACTTTTTGGTAAAAACTCAACTCGTCATGTTTGGAGGACAAAGAATGCTGAGTTGCATCCAAAGAACACCATACCTACTGTGAAGCATGGGGGTGGAAACATCATGCTTTGGGGCTGTTTTTCTGCAAAGGGACCAGGACGACTGATCTGTGTAAAGGAAAGAATGAATGGGGCCATGTATCGTGAGATTTTGAGTGAAAACCTCCTTCCATCAGCAAGGTCATTGAAGATTAAACGTGGCTGGGTCTTTCAGCATGACAATGATCCCAAACACACCGCCCAGGCAACGAAGGAGTGGCTTCGTAAGAAGCATTTCAAGGTCCTGGAGTGGCCTAGCCAGTCTCCAGATCTCAACCCCATAGAAAATCTTTGGAGGGAGTTGAAAGTCTGTGCAAATAAATTCATAAAAAATCCTACAATGTGATTTTCTGGAAATTTTTTCCTCATTTTGTCTGTCATAGTTGACGTGTACCTATGATGTAAATTACAGGCCTCTCTCATCTTTTTAAGTGGGAGAACTTGCACAATTGGTGGCTGACTAAATACTTTTTTCCCCCACTGTATATCAGATGGTCCAGTACCATTTCATTTATGTCAGATGGTCCAATACCATTTTATATCAGATGGTCCAGTACCATTTTATATCAGATGGTCCAGTACCATTTCATTTTATATCAGATGGTCCAGTACCATTTCATTTTATATCAGATGGTCCAGTACCATTTTATATCAGATGGTCCAGTACCATTTTATATCAGATGGTCCAGTACCATTTCATTTTATATCAGATGGTCCAGTACCATTTCATTTTATGTCAGATGGTCCAGTACCATTTCATTTTATATCAGATGGTCCAGTACCATTTCATTTTATGTCAGATGGTCCAGTACCATTTCATTTTATGTCAGGTGGTCCAGTACCATTTCATTTTATATCAGATGGTCCAGTACCATTTCATTTTATGTCAGATGGTCCAGTACCATTTTATATCAGATGGTCCAGTACCATTTCATTTTATATCAGATGGTCCAGTACCATTTTATATCAGATGGTCCAGTACCATTTTATATCAGATGGTCCAGTACCATTTTATATCAGATGGTCCAGTACCATTTTATATCAGATGGTCCAGTACCATTTTATATCAGATGGTCCAGTACCATTTCATTTTATGTCAGATGGTCCAGTACCATTTCATTTTATATCAGATGGTCCAGTACCATTTTATATCAGATGGTCCAGTACCATTTCATTTTATATCAGATGGTCCAGTACCATTTTATATCAGATGGTCCAGTACCATTTTATATCAGATGGTCCAGTACCATTTTACAGTGGGGAAAAAAAGTATTTAGTCAGCCACCAATTGTGCATGTTCTCCCACTTAAAAAGATGAGAGAGACCTGTAATTTTCATCATAGGTACACGTCAACTATGACAGACAAATTGAGAAAAAAAAATCCAGAAAATCACATTGTAGGATTTTTAATGAATTTATTTGCAAATTATGGTGGAAAATAAGTATTTGGTCACCTACAAACAAGCAAGATTTCTGGCTCTCACAGACCTGTAACTTCTTCTTTAAGAGGCTCCTCTGTCCTCCACTCGTTACCTGTATTAATGGCACCTGTTTGAACTTGTTATCAGTATAAAAGACACCTGTCCACAACCTCAAACAGTCACACTCCAAACTCCACTATGGCCAAGACCAAAGAGCTGTCAAAGGACACCAGAAACAAAATTGTAGACCTGCACCAGGCTGGGAAGACTGAATCTGCAATAGGTAAGCAGTTTGGTTTGAAGAAATCAACTGTGGGAGCAATTATTAGGAAATGGAAGACATACAAGACCACTGATAATCTCCCTCAATCTGGGGCTCCACGCAAGATCACACCCCGTGGGGTCAAAATGATCACAAGAACGGTGAGCAAAATTCCCAGAACCACACGGGGGGACCTAGTGAATGACCTGCCAGAGAGCTGGGACCAAAGTAACAAAGCCTACCATCAGTAACACACTACGCCGCCAGGGACTCAAATCCTGCAGTGCCAGACGTGTCCCCCTGCTTAAGCCAGTACATGTCCAGGCCCGTCTGAAGTTTGCTAGAGTGCATTTGGATGATCCAGAAGACGATTGGGAGAATGTCATATGGTCAGATGAAACCAAAATAGAACTTTTTGGTAAAAACTCAACTCGTCATGTTTGGAGGACAAAGAATGCTGAGTTGCATCCAAAGAACACCATACCTACTGTGAAGCATGGGGGTGGAAACATCATGCTTTGGGGCTGTTTTTCTGCAAAGGGACCAGGACGACTGATCTGTGTAAAGGAAAGAATGAATGGGGCCATGTATCGTGAGATTTTGAGTGAAAACCTCCTTCCATCAGCAAGGTCATTGAAGATTAAACGTGGCTGGGTCTTTCAGCATGACAATGATCCCAAACACACCGCCCGGGCAACGAAGGAGTGGCTTCGTAAGAAGCATTTCAAGGTCCTGGAGTGGCCTAGCCAGTCTCCAGATCTCAACCCCATAGAAAATCTTTGGAGGGAGTTGAAAGTCTGTGCAAATAAATTCATAAAAAATCCTACAATGTGATTTTCTGGAAATTTTTTCCTCATTTTGTCTGTCATAGTTGACGTGTACCTATGATGAAAATTACAGGCCTCTCTCATCTTTTTAAGTGGGAGAACTGCACAATTGGTGGCTGGACTAAATACTTTTTCCCCCACTGTATACAGATGGTTCCATACCATTTTTTATCAGATGGTCCATACCATTTTATATCAGTGGTCCAGTACAATTTTTATCAGACCATGGTCCAGTACATTTTATATCAGATGGTCCAGTAACCATTCATTTATATCGAATGGTCCAGTCCTTTCATTTTATCTCTATGTTCCAGTACCATTCATTTTAATATCAGAATGGTCCATACCATTTTATATCAGTGGTCAAGTACCATTTTATATCAGATGGTCCTACCATTTTATGTCAGTGGTCCAGTACCCATTTCATTTTATGTCAGATGGTCGTAGTACCATTCATTTTATATCAGATGGTCCTACCATTTCTATCAGATGGTCCGTACCATTTCATTTTATATCAGATGGTCCCTTAACCATTTCATTTTATATCAGATGGTCCAGTACCATTTCATTTTATGTCAGATTGTCCAGACCATTTTCATTTTATATCAGATGGTCTAGTACCATTTCATTTATATCAGATGGTCCAGTATCATTTATCTCGATGGTCCAGTCCCTTTTCATTTTAAGGGGGTCATATGGTCCAGTATCATTCATTTTATAATCCGATGTCCCAGTACCATTCATTTTTATCAGATGGTCCAGTACCATTTCATTTTAATATCAGAGTGTCCGTACCATTTCATTTTATATCTATGTCCAGTACCATTTTATATCAGATGGCCAGACCAAATTAATTTATGTCAGATTGGCCCATACGCATTTTCCTTTTATATCAGATTGTCCCAGTAACCATTATTTCATCTCAGATGGTCCAGTACCATTTCTTTTCGTCAATGGTCCATTACCATTTTAATCAGATGGTCCAGTACCATTTCATTTTCTATCAGATGGTCTCAGTACCATTTTATATCAGATGTCCAGTACCAAATTATTTTATATCAGATGGTCGCAGTACCATTACCTTTTATATCAGATGGTCCCAGTACCTTTTAATATCAATTGTTCCGTACCATTTCATTTTATATCAGTGGTCCGTACCATTTTATTATCGATGGTCCAGTCCATTTATATCAGAGGGTCCAGTACCATTTTTTTTCAGATGGTCCAGTACCATTTCATTTAGGTCAGATGGTCCAGTACCATTTCATGTATGTCAGATGGTCCAGTCACCATTCATTTTATTCAGATGGTCCAGTACCATTTCATTTATGTCAGCTGGTCCATCCATCCATTTATATCAGATGGTCCCAGTACCATTTCATTTTATGTCAGAATGGTCCAGTACAATTTTATATTCAGATGGTCCAGTACCAGTTCTTTTATATCAGATGGTCCGTTACCATTTCATTTTATATCCGATGGTCCAGTCCATTTTATATCGATGGTCCATTCCATTTTATATCAGATGTGTCCAGTACCATTTTATATCAGATGGTCCCAGTAACCATTTTATGTCAGATGGTCCAGTACCAAATCATTTTATAATCAGATGGTCCCAGTACCATTTTATATCAGATGGTCCAGTACCATTTTATATCAGAATGGTCCAGTACCATTGTTGTCAGATGGTCGCAGTACCATTTCATTTTATGTCCGATGGTCCAGTACCATTTCATTTTATGTCCATGTGGTCCGTACCATTTCCTTATATATATCAGGTGGTTCCAGTACCATTTCATTTTATTTCAGATGGTCCAGTACCTTTTATGTCAGATGGTCCAGTACCCATTTTATAGCAGCTGGTCCAGTACAATTTTTATATCAGATGGTCCAGTACCATTTTTATATCAGATTGGTCCAGTACATTTCATTGTATTCCCGATGGTCGCAGTACCATTTTATATCCATGGTCCGTACATTTAATTTTATACAGATGGTCCAGTACATTTAATTTTATGTAGATGGCCAAGTCCGTTCATTTTTATTCGATGGTCCAGTACCATTTTCATTTTTGTCCAGGTGGTCCTACCATTTCTTTTTATCAGATGGTCCAGTACCATTCATTTTATGTCAGATGGTCCATACCATTTTATATCAATGGTCCCAGTACCATTTCATTTTATGTCAGGTGGTCCAGTACCATTTCATTTTATGTCGATGGTCCGTACCATTTCATTTTATGTCGCTGGTCCAAGTACCCTTTCATTTTATGTCCGGTGGTCCGTAACCATTTCCATTTTATATCAGGTGGTGGTCCAGTACCATTTCATTTTATTCAGATGGTCCAGTACCATTTTTCATTTTTATATCAGATGGTCCATACCATTTCATTTTATATCAGATGGTCCAGTACCCATTTATATCCGATGGTCCATACCATTTATATCAGATGGTCCAGTACCATTTTATATCAGATTTCCAGTACCATTTTAGGTCCAGATGGTCCCAGTACCATTTCATTTATATCCGATGGTCCAGTACCATTTTATATCAGATTGTCCAGTAACCATTTATGTCTATGGTCCCAGTCCATTTTATGTCAGATGGTCCATACCATTTCATTTTAATATCAGATGTCCTTACCATTCATTTTAGTCGAATGGTCCAGTACCATTTTATATCAGAGGTCCAGTCCCTTTGTTTTATGTCCAGATTGTCCAGTACCATTTTTCATTTTATATCAGCATGTTCCAGGACAATTGCATTTTATGTCAGGTGGTCCAGTACCATTTTCATTTTATGTCAGATGTCCAGTACCATTTCATTTTATTCAGTTGTCGCAGTATCCCCCATTTTATGTCAGAGGTCCAGTACCCATTTTTATATCAGATGTCCATACCATTTTCCATTTTATGTCAGCATGGTCCAGTAACCATTTTCCATTTATATCAGATGGTCGCAGACCATTTCATTTTATATCAGATGGTTCCAGTACCATTTCATTTTATGTCAGATGGTCCAGTACCATTTCATTTTATATCAGATGGTCCAGTACCATTTCATTTTAATTTCCAGATGGTCCAATACCATTTCATTTTCTATCAGATGTTCAATAACCATTTCATTTTTATCCGATGGTCCATACATTTTCATTTTATGTCAGATCGTCCAGTACTCATTTTATATCAATGGTCCCGTACCATTTTGTATATCAGATGTCCAGTACATTTCATTTTATGTCAATGTCCAGTACCATTTCATTTTATGTCAGATGGTCGCAGTACCATTTTTATATCAGAGGGTCCAGTACCATTTTTATATCAGAGGTCCATAACCATTTCATTGTAGGTCCAGATGGTCCAGTACCTTTTATATCAATGGTCCAGTAACCATTTTATATCAGATGTCCCGTACCTTTTCATTTTAGTCAGTGGTCCAGTACCATTTTCTTTTATATCAGATGGTCCATACCATTTTCATTTTAATATCAGATGGTCGCGTACCATTTTATATCAGATTGTCCATACCATTTCATTTTTATATCAGATGGTCAGTACCAGTTTATAAAATCAGATGGGCCATACCATTTTATATCAGTATGGGCCATACCAGTTTAATATCAGATGGTCCAGTACATTTTATGTCAGATGGTCCAGTACCATTTCATGTTAGATCAGATGGTCAGTACCATTTTATATCAGATGGTCCATTACATTTTTATGTCAGGAATGGTCCAGTTACCATTTATGTCAATGGTCGCAGTACCATTTCCCTTTTATATCAGATTGGTCCAGTACCATTTCATTTTATGTCCGATGTCCAGTACCATTTATATCAGATGGTCCGTACCATTTCGTTTTATGTCAGATGGTCAGTAACCATTTCATTTTATATCAATGGGTCCCGTACCATTGCATTTTATGTCAGGTGGTCCAGTACCATTTCATTTTTATGTCAGAGGGTCCAGTAACCATTTCATTGTATGTCCAGATGGTCCATACCATTTCATTTTATGTCAGATGGTCCAGTACCATTTTCATTTTATGTCAGATGGTCCAGTACCTTTCATTTTATATCAGATGGTCCAGTACCACTTTCCATTTTATTTCCGATGGTCAGTACCATTTTATATCAGATGGTCCAGTACCATTTCATTTTCAAAATATCATATGGTCTAGTACCATTCATTTTATATCATATGGTCCAGTAACCATTTATATCAGATGGTCCCGTACATTTTTTCTCATTGTCCAGTACCATTTTATATCAGATGTCGCAGTACATTTTTATGTCAGATGGTCCAGTACCAAATCATTTTATTCGATGGTCCAGTACCATTTTAAATATCGATGGTCCAGTCACCATTTTAATATCAATGGTCCAGTACCATTTTATGTCAATGGTCTCGTACCATTTCATTTATGTCAGATGTCCAGTACCATTTCATTTTTGTCATGTGGTCCAGTACATTTCCATTATATATCAGGTGGTCCAGTACCATTTCATTTTTTTCAATGGTCCAGTACCATTTTATGTCAAGATGGTCCAGTACATTTTATTCAGAGGTCCAGTCACCATTTTATATCAGATGGTCCATACCATTTTATATCATATGGTCCCGTACCATTTCATTGTATGGTAGATGGTCCAGTACCCATTTATATCAGAGGTCCAGTACCATTTAATTTTATATCAGATGGTCCAGTACCATTTTAATTTTATGTCAGATGGTCCAGTCCGTTTCATTTTATGTCAGATGGTCCAGTACCATTTCATTTTATGTCAGGTGGTCCATACCATTTCATTTTAATCAGATGGTCCGTACCATTTCATTTATGTCGATGGTCCAGTACCATTTTATATCAGATGTCCAGTACCATTTCATTATGTCAGGTGGGTCTCAGTACTCATTTCATTTTATGTCAGATGGTCCCAGTACCATTTCATTTTAGTCAATGTCCCCAATACCATTTCATTTTTAATTCAGGTGGTGCCATTACCATTTCATTTTATATCAATGGTCCAGTACCATTTTCTTTTATGTCAGATGGTCCAGTACCATTTTCATTTTATATCAGATGGTCAAGTCCATTTCATTTTATATCGATGGTCCAGTACCATTTTATATCAGATGGTCCCCAGTACCATTTTTATCAGATGGTCCAGTACCATTTTAATTCAGATTGGTCCAGTACCATTTTATGTCAGATGTCCATCCATTTCATTTTATAGCGATGGTCCCGTACCATTTTATATCAGATGGTCAGTACCATTTATGTCAGATGGTCGCAGTACCAGTTTATGTCAGATGGTCAGTACCATTTCATTTTATATCAGATGGTCCAGTACCATTGGCTCATTTTATGTCAGAATGGTCGCATTACCGATTTTTTGCAGTGGTCCAGTACCATTTCGTTTTATGTCAGATGGTCAAGTACCATTTCATTTTATAGCAGGATGGTCGGGTCAGTACCATTTCATTTTATGTCAGTGGTCCAGTTTTACCGC